GTCTGCATCGCAAAGCAGACTAACTATATGAACGAGGCACGCGGTTCAGCTATATAGCACGGAGACAACGGCTTGCGCTCACGACAGGCAGAAGGTTATAATGAGCGCCCGAGAAGCTGCACTTAACCTTTCGCGTGCGCTGGTTATGCTGCTGACTTTTTCTACACACTAAACAAGCTTTATAGTTATTTATGTTCCACGTACAATCAAACGTGCATTCGCGGCGCAGTGTTGTAAAAACAAAAATATACGCAACTGCGAGTTCGTTCAAAAAAGCAGGGAACACTTTTTTACTTGGATCTCGCAGACGGTCATCGCGTATATGAATGCACCAAGGAGCGGGAGTATACCTTCGTGATAGCGCACGAGACAGTTTTTGTATTACGGATTGAAAATGCAACGAAGAAACACGACTGGGAGGTTCGGAACATCCATTTTTCACTCAAACGGGAATCTCAGATAGTAGTCTTTCTTGAAAAAAAAAAAAACGACATTCTAAGGACGAATTGCTTTGCGTGAAAAGACAGCTTTTTATAGTAAACGAAATATACGCGTCAAATTATACACAGCACACTTTTGTACTTTCGAAATTTAGAATGGCAGATGATATGTACCGAACCTGACTATTTGAAAATGTGAATCGAAGTCGGAGCCAAGGAACGACGAGACGTGGTCGGAAATATCGTTAAATTGAGGAACATGCCATGCTCATTATTCGAAAAGTTCATCGAGGCATGCAGGAGTGAGACGTGTGTGTATATATATATATATATATAAAGGCACATTTTATAAAGCGTACCTAACATACGGGCTTGCCGCAATCAATTTTTTTTGTTTACTTTAGGCCTCCATTGCTTAAGCAGGGCGCTTCTAATTGAGCAAACCACCGCGCGTAAGCTTAACGGAACACTTTCTCGGCATCTTTGTTTTCTATAGGTACGTGTCTTCAAAGCTTCCATTTATTTGCTCAATCCCATATTCAGAGCTCTTCGAGTTCCATCGAGCCCGCTTTGCTTCATTAAATGACTTTTCGTATACCTAAGCGCGGAACTAATTACGCAAGGTTCGCTGTTCGTGTGTTTCGTCAGGTTATTCGCCACCTACACGCGTACGTAGGAACGTTCAATTAATTCCTTCAGGGGCAGTTTGCACCCATTTTTTGTTGAGCACAGAGCTAATTCAGTTTACGTTAACTACAATCTATACTTAATCGTAATGCCGTGTTCATTCTTTTCGTGGCAGGCGTTTATTGATTGACGCAATTTTTTTTTCCTGAACAGCCCCTAAGGTCCCTTCGTTGTAAAGTTAGCGCTAGTTGATAAAGTTATTAACAGTAGGCGGGTCCTCTATGTGTATTTCTCCTTCCATACACATTTATATTCCAGATTTCGTGTCGGAACTGAATCTGAATGCATACTACAGTACTGCAAGCTGTAGAAACATTGAGTTAGAAGCTGCGCCCACCCGAAATTTAAGGGAATTATTTAAGGTTCCTAGCTAAACATCTGTTCCGTAATATTTCTTGGGCCAGCGGCCGTAGTATACTTATCAGGCCCGTACGTATAACCCAGAGGGGGGGGGGGGGGTCTCTAGACCACGCCGTTTCCCTTCCTCCAAATTTTCTTGGAGGTTTAAATAAATAACAAAAATAGGTGTTTTTACTCAATAACCATATCCTTAGACAAGTGTCCACCTTCCCCTCATACCCGAAAATGATTACGTGCTACATACGGTAACACATCCCCCCCCCCCCACCACCACAGCAATATTTAAGACTAGCTGTATTCAGTCCTCGACGATTCTAAACGCCTCTAAGTTCTATCTCTATCATCTGCAGGATGACTGTTTGTCATTATCGGGCAATTGACAGACAAGGAAGCGAGGCGGCTACAGCAGGGGCGGCGCCAGGATGTTTTTACTGGGGGGGGGGGGGGGGGGGGCAACCACGAAAAGTGAGTTCCTCCGGGGGGGGGGGGGGCAAGCTAGCTCTGCTCCTACTAGGTTTCCAATATATGCTTCCGGGCACTTGGGTGGGCATAGGAAGGGGGAGGGGGGGCAGGCGAGAATTTTGGGGGGGCTCCAGCCCCCCCTTCCCCCCCCCCCCTGGCGCCGCCCCTGGGCTACAGCAGGCAAAGCGGCGGGCGTTGTTCACACATAACCCCAAAGCTCGAGTGTTTCGAGAAGCGCGGAAACATTGCTGTGTTTTGAAACTCGCCCGCGCTTGCAAAGCTCACCACAACGACATCCACATGTCGTGCTTTGCTCTACGGAACGACAATTGCTGCTGCTTCGCGACGGCGCATGAAGGGGTCTTGATGAAAACGTTTAATCACGCTAAGCCACAGATGCTGCAAATCCCACCGATATTGAGCCCTCGCGTTGTATACTGTCTTCAACACAATACGCGCACCGAGGTGGACTTCTCGCAATTTATTCTTTTTCTTATTTTTGCCGTATCACGCGGGTGTACTCATGCCTGGAAGCAGAAAACACGAGAATTAGATGGCGGTCATAATTTAGTTGGACATCCCGAGATGTCTCCATTGCAGGCAGTTTTGCGCAAATGAGCCGCATATATTGAGCTTTTTCACTACTTACTGCAAGAAGGAAACAATGAATAGAGGGATGAGTAACACCTAGACAATAAGCCAATTACAAATATTATTATAATAAAGACGTTTACCAGCGTTATTTCGCTATGAGGTGAGTACCGTAATTCGCGTCATCAAAAACAGCACTAGGCGGCGCCGAAAAGGGAGGTGATATCGATAAACTCTAAATTTCACCCCCCCCCCCCGTATCCTAACTCATCATCATCATCATCGGCCTGACTACGTCAACTGCAGGACAAAGGCCTCTCCCATGTTCCGCCAGTTAACCCGGTCCTAACTAAACCAACTTAAGCGAATGAAAGAGAGGCGGTGCAATACAATGCAGTGAACGCAGCCTATTCGCTTACGTTTTTGCTAATATTTTTTTATTACCTGTATACATTTGCATAAAAAAGTAGAGAGAGATAAGGGGGGGGGGGTGTTACAGTTACTGCTTTTTTTTTTTCACCAGCATTCAACAAAATATTCGATTGGTTCCACATGCAAAACTTCGCCGGTCTCCTCAAAAACATAAAAGCGCCCACTAACTCTATTAACATTTCATTGTTGTTGTTTTCTTCTTTAAGTTGGCACAACAAAAAGGAGAAGAATCGTTACTAACTCGCTTTAAAAGACGGCTGATAAATAAACCGGCCTTCCAGCGAAGATAAAACGCCAGCCGACGCGCGCACCCGATCGCTTGGAAAAGTCCGCGCCATTCAATTCCTCGCGAAGTCGATCCCACGCTCGGTTACGCCGACTCGATATACCGTGTTTAAATTAAGAGCGGCACAGACTCCGCCACGCCGAATTTGCGACGCACCTCTCGTCCACAACGGGCGGCAGTGACCTCTTTCAAACCCACGCTGTGGTGAAGTGCGTACACAGCTTTTGGACCGGGTTCGAGAGAGAGAGCGATATAAAGATCGAGAGAGAGGTAAAAAAAGGACGCAGCGCAGCTGCCGTACTCGCCGACCTGAAAGTCCCGGCAAACCTTGTTATTAAGCATTTCATTAAAGCGTAGCGTCATTTTACGCGATGATGGCGAACAGCAAAACATGATCGTCCACGTTTCACTTTTCGTAACTGCATTCCCACAGTTGGACACTGTAGCGCTGTCCTTAAAAGCGCCGTACGCGAACAAATTAATAGCGCAGGCCGATAAACGCCTGCAATGCGAGGTGCGAGCTTCGACTGCGTTTCCAGCCCGGCCGAACACATGTTTACGTGAACGTGCGGAGAAGCAGAAAGGAACAAAATATACCGTAGAAAGGAGCCTGCTTTTCCTCTCTCTTAACGTGAAACTGCAGTGTTTGTATATCCCGCGTCACACACGCTCAATATCTTTTTGTGCGCACTACCTGAGGGACCAAAAAGTGCCAGCGGAGATTAGCGCGGGCACCTTATCGCGCGAAAAAAACCACTCATTTTCTAGGACAGTAAGTCATAATTAGCGCTGAAACACTGGATTTCACGATAACATTTTAGGTACCATGTGACGAAAGGAGCATATTTCAAGAATATCGGCGTTATCTTTACGGCGAGCCGTTACCTCCACGATTGTAGGATCGCGGCGATTTTCTCACCGCGATAAGGAGCTTCATAATGTAACAAGCGGGACAGAGTCGGCTTAAATAGCGCATTTTATTCATCTGTCCACTTCCCTAGTGCCGCTTACGATGATCGCAAACTACACACAAATCCTACCTGAAAGAAGGGCTCGTTCAGCTTAGCTTTCGCTTGATACCACGCTCGTGAGCGTAAAGCTGGACTACGCCAATTGACGCGTATGCCGCTAATTTGATTGCGGATTGGATCCCGTTTCACAAAGCGACTGCCAGAAATTCCGGCGTCGGGTGGCGGCGCGCCGACTGAGAAAACAGGTGCACACTCACCAAGTGTAACACGGTGTTTACCACCTCCTTGTTGGAGACTTGGCCGACTTCGACAAATCCGATGAGCACGGCGAATTTCAGATTGTCGTTCAAAGGCATCTTAATCACATCCTCGGGACGCTTGGCCTGGGCCATCGCTGTGTCCGGCGGCACATCCATGTTTTCACGGCGGGAATGTTGTCACACAGAAATGGGCGAAAACAACTTACAAGACATTACATCCACCGAAAAAGGCGTACACTCCCACCCTGGCTTCTCGCCATGTTTAAAGCTAAGTGGATCCTTTCAATAGTCTCGCAGCTGTCGTAAGCTAATGTACCTTTAAGTAGAAACAATATTGCTAATAATTGTTATTAACATATTAACTTGTAATATAAGTAATTAAAATATGTAAGTTCAAATTATTAAAACTATACCTCGCAAAAGTTTGGCAAAAGGTTGTCTGCGGTCCTGTAAATTTGGGGCGTGTGCGCTTTGTGCACGGCGGCGCCACTAGGCTAACTAGGCTTGCGAAAGCTACGAGGTGGCACCGCAGCGGTGGCGCTTTGATCGCAACCTCGGCTTGGTGCTTGTAAGCGGCATCTGTTACAAGTTAAAAGAAACGCGTTTGTGCCCTGTCCTTGTGCAGCCAGCAGCAACGAAGCTAAAAACTGTTGTCTTTTTATCACCATGTCGGCCGCCGAAGTCGAGCAGACCAACGTAAGTGAAACTACCAGTCTTCTGTCACTTTCCAACGTTTGACTGTGCTCCTGTCAATCTCCCGTGTAAGCCTTGCGCAGACATCGGCAAACTCGTTAGCCTTTCGTCGTTGTGACAGCGATTAGTACGCGGAAATTATTTACGAAAATCATCGTATCGCTTGCCGAATATGCACTTGCTGGCGTTGACTCATGTGATGCCACGCCCGAAGTAACCGTTAACGATTGTAATTGGCACGCAGGAAATGGTCTAGATAAACATCCGGCCGCTTAATAAAGTATGGTCGAGGTAATGTAACCTAATTAAAAAGCTTAGGAGCAGAGGACGATGCTTCATCGTAAAAACTTCTTTGATCTCCTGCCGCGTGTGCCCTTTTTTGTCAGTAAACAGCTTTCGCGCGTTGATTTCTGCAGGGTAACTACATCGACGACCACATTCGCACACTCAAGTTGCAGAGCCATGTCGGATTTGACAGCCTTCCCGAACAGCTGGTTAGCAAATCTGTGCAGCAAGGCTTCCATTTCAACATCCTCTGCATTGGTAAGCCGTGGGCTGGAATTTTGTGATGGGTCCTGCCAATGAAACCTAGTTTTCACTTTACAGTGTATAAACAATTTCTTATATTTGCAGCAATATTTAGCGTAAAACCATGAATGCTGAGGACTATAGGGCCAAGTGCTCAAAGTAATTAACTACCATAAACAGAAGTGTCGTGTAATGTGAAAGTGGCATATAACTATTTCCAATTTTGTTTGACGATCACGACGTTTACGACTGGCTGGCTACGTACGAACTCGTGTCTTGAACAAATTAGACGTAGCCACGAGACTGGCCACCGTTGGCATTTACCTCAGTGGCATTGCCCACTTGTGGCTTCGGAACCATGAAACCGACGTTCCAACCTGGACAGCATTCAAGACAAAGTTCAGCGAAGTCTTCGGTCGTCCTGCTGTCCGCAAACTCTGTGCGGAGCAGCGCCTTCAGTCAAGATCTCAACTGCCTGGTGAGAATTTCACCAGTTACATAGAAGACGTCATTGACTTGTGCAAACGCATAGATGCGAACATGACAGAGGTGGACCGCATCAAGCATATTTTTAAGGGAAGGGTATTGACGAGGACGCGTTCCAGATGCTCATTTCAAAAAGCCCGGCTTCTGTCGCTCAAGTTACCGAGCTCTGCCAAAGCTATGATGAGCTCCGCCGGCAATGTCACCCACCGTGCTGTCCCACATCAGGAATCGATGTCCGGCTTAACTTCGCAGATCAAAGATTTTGTGCGTGAAGAAGTTGCCCGCCAACTCTCGCTCATCTCCGCCAGCAACGTCTCGTCTCGTCACCCGCCGTGCTGTCCCACATCAGGAATGGATGTCCGGCTTAACTTGGCAGATCAAAGATTTTGTGCGCGAAGAAGTTGCCCGCCAACTCTCGCTCATCTCCGGCCTACCGGAGCGCAGAGCACCGCTTAGCCCTACAATACGGGCTATTATACAAGACCAAGTGTCTGAGGTCCTTTCTCTGCAGCTGGTGCCACCAGTCAATGCACCATTGACATACGCTGAAGCAACAGCGCGACCACGACCACAGACGTTTCAAGCGCCGCCTCCACTGCCTGCTCCTGTTTATGCCGCCCAGCTGCCACGACCTCCACTCCACCGAGTCCCTAATCCACTGCCGACAACCGACCGATCTGCTTTTCGTGTGATCTACCCGGACACGTCGCACCTCTGTGCTGCCGCCGCCCGCTCCATTCACGTGAAAACCCACGTTCATATGAGTACAACCACACGTTTTCCTACACTCCAGACCCCGAATTGCACCCTCCTCGACCAAGCTATCAACCACCTTCTGATCGCTGATCTCCTTCTCTACGCCGATGCGCCGACGCCTCTCTACAATCGACGCGGCAAACTAAATGACGCAGTTCCCAAGGCAAGAACTGCGTCCTCGTCGCAAAGCACAAGCCCTCTTCATTCGCCGCCGAATGTAATTAATGTCGTTTTTAAAGGTGTACCTGTACTTGCCCTTATTGATACTGGTGCCGCCATTTCTGTTATTGCCGAAAAAGTTTGCCGTGCAATTCGAAAAGTGACATTGCCTTACTTGGGTTTGTTTCTTCATACTGTCACTGCACAGCCTGTGGCGGCGTGTACCGCCAGTGTAGTTCGTAGTACTCCCGCACTGTTCTCACAACATCATTTTAGGCTGGGATTTTCTCTCCCATCACCAAGCTGTCATTGATTGTGCCTGTGCCGAAGTAGTCTTTTGTCCTCTTGGTGATGCTCTACCTGCGGACGATCGCCCTTCCTACGCGAAGTTGGTCATTAGTGACGACACTCGGATCCCTCTGTGTACTACTGTCTTCGCACCTTTGTAGTGTTCCGCCATCATCAACGCTACCGCATTCTTCACGCCTTCCGCTGCTTTCGTCCATCGCCACCTATCACCACTCCCAACCGCTCTCGTTACTCTTCAAGGTGGTGTGACTTATGCACCTGTGGGGAATTTGTTCCCATTCACGATAACGCTGCTTCGGGGTGAATGTATCAGCTAAATCGAATCATTGGAAACCATCGCTACACTTGACGTTCCTGATGGATTATCGGAAGTCAGCGCCCTCTCCTGTAGTTTCGTGAATGGCCCTTCCACTGCCGACATTTTCAACCGCGTAATCGACGAAGGCCTAAACCACAACAGAGGTGTGAGCTTTTGAGCCTCCTTGACAAGTTTCGGCCATCTTTTGACAGTCACAGCGCTACCTTAGGTCAAACATCTATGTATGGTATGGTCAAACATCTATGGTATTTGCAGGTGCCGATGAATACAGATGATAGGCCAAAAACTGCCTTTGTTACTTATACAAATTTAACGGGATGCCATTCGGCCTATGCAATGCACCGGCAACATTTGAGTGCATGATGGACACTATCCTACAAGGCCTCAAATGGAACACGTGTTTGTGCTACTTATGATGTGGTGGTATTCTCGCCCGATTTTCCCACGCACCTTCATTGCTTGGAACAGGTTCTACGCTGCCTTTCTGCAGCAGACCTCGAACTAAACTTGAAGAAGTGTCACTTTGGAGCACGCAAGCTGACCATTCTCGGTCACGTCGTGTCGAAGGATGACGTTCTCCCTGACCCCGCTTAGCTACGTGCTGTTTGCGAGTTCCCGAGGCCCGCGTCTCTCAAGGAGCTGCGTAGTTTTATTGGGCTTTGCTCATACTTCCGCCGCTTCGTCCGGGATTTCGCCTTGATCATAGCACCTTTGACAGACCTACTTCAGGGAGACCGCAATCTATCTGCGTGGTCTCCAGCCTGTGACAGTGCCTTTTGCGAAGCTCCGTTACTGATTACACCACCACCCATACTGCGACATTTCGATTCAAGCGCTCTCACAGAAATCCACACGGATGCTAGCGGTGTCGGTCCTGGTGCTGTACTCGCCTAACGATAGCATGGTTACCAAGAATATGTTGTTGCGAACGTGAGCCGCACTCTTACAAGAACAGAAGCAAATTATTCGGTAACTGAGAAAGAATGCCTAGCGATCATCTGGGCCATTAAAAAATTTCGGCCTTATCTGTACGGCTGCTCTTTCGATGTTTTTACCGAACACCACGCGCTCTGCTGGTTAACCTCCCTTAAGGATCCCTCCAGGCGCTTGGCTTGATGGGCTTTACTGCTACAATAGTACGACATCCGTGTCATTTATGGCTCAGGCCAAAAGTTTGCCGATGCTCTTTCGCGTTCGCCTGTTTCTACTGATATTGCGAGTGTCTCCATTCAAGACAACTTACTTCCACTATCAGTACCCATCGACATGGCTGCGGAGCAGCGCAATGATTCGTGGATTGCGTCTCTGATGAATAACCTATCTGAAACACTCGCTCAACCCCCATCTAGAGCGCCACACCGACAGGCCTCTCACTTCGCCATCCGCGATGATATACTTCATCGCCGCAACTACTACCCTGATGGCCGCAAATGGCTACTCGTCATACCCAGGCATCTCCGTGCCAGCATATGTGCTGCTTTCCATGCCGATCCGCAGTGTGCACACGCCGGTTTGTTTAAAACCTATGCCAGGCTACGTTTTCGGTTTTATTGGCGCGGTATGTACACATTCATTCAAAAGTACATTCGATCTTGCACAGAGTGTCAATGCCACAAGCACGATCCTAGCCGTCCTACTGCACCAATGCAGCCGTTACCGTGCCCAGTGCGACCATTCGACCAGGTTGGAATAGATTTTTATGGTCCTCTGCCATATACATCAGCTGGAAATCGCTGGATTATTGTAGCGATTGATCATCTCACGAGATATGCAGAAACGGCCGCTCTACCAGCCGCGACGGCACGTGACATTGCGTCTTTCCTGCTGCAACATTTTGTTCTTCGTCACGGCGCTCCACGTGAACTTTTGAGCAACCGAGGCAGTGTCTTTCTCGCAAATGTTATTCAAGAACTTCTTGCTGAATTCCATGTGATTCACCGCTGTACTACCGCATATCACCCACAAGCAAACGGCTTGACCGAACGTTTCAACTGCACTCTTGGCGACATGCTTTCTATGTATGTCGCCTCCGATCACATCAACCGGGATTTTATCCTTCACTACATAACGTACACTTACAACATGGCTCCTCAAGCGACGACAGGCTTTTCTCCCTTCTTTTTACTCTATGGTCGCGAGCCATCATGTCCAATCGACATCATTCTCCCCTATTGACCCGACTCATCTGAAGGCACACGAGTTTCCGAAGCCGCTAGGTATGCGGAAGAATGTCGGCAATTAGCTCGCACCCTTACAACACAAGAACAAGTGCTACAGAAATTTCGTCTCGACGATGGACGGTCCCACTACCAGTTTTCGCACAACTCTCTGGTTTGGCTGTGGGTGCCTCCGCACTGCTGCTCCTGGTACCTCTACAAAGTTTGTCAGCAGGTACCATGGGCCTTATCGCGTCATAGAGCAAACTTCCGCTGTCAACTACCTCATCGAACCCCTCAGGCCCACTCCAGACCTGTGTTGCCGAGGCCGCGAAATCGTACACGTGGATCGTCTCAAACCATATCACGAGCCACTTGTCCTCATGACACCTTAGAACACCTACTTGGCTCAGTCTTCAGCGAGGGGGAAATATGTAATGAAGAAGTAGTGGGTCATGAAAAGCTCGGCAAACATATCGTCAGTGCTAAGCACGAGACACTCAGCCCGGACGTTGTCGCTGCTTTCGCTGGCTAGGCTTATGCTTCTACCTGGTCTCAAATGACAGTTCTGACTGTCTCAGTTCTTTATTATACTTACTTTACAGAATATTGCAATTTTTATCTGTTGCATTGGGAGAGAGAGAGAGAAACAACTTTGGAAAAATAGGTTTGTGTTTTCGTTTGGACATAGCAGAGCTTTTATTGGTTTTTATAATGTATACCTGGTTTATCGTTGTGACGTGTATAGCTGTCTGTCTACTTTGTTTGTACAGTGTGTCGTACCTTCCCTGTAATGACCCTCAATAAGAGTTGACAGTATTTATAAATAAATAAATGACTGCAAGTGATATCATTAAACACTCTCACCTTTTCAAAGGGGTGATGGTTGTGAAAATTTCTCATTAGGCGCTCTGTAACAAGTGCTGCCACTTGCCTAAATCTGTGTTCTCAACCTCAGAGGATGTTGTCATCGACCTCTACAGGCAGTGATCGTTTTATGAAATTGGCCTTGACTTACCCCGCCTTCTAACATGCTTTCTACCGCAGGTGAGACAGGCATAGGGAAGTCAACCCTAATGGAGTCTCTGTTCAACCGTTCATTTGAAACAACACAGAGCCCACACAACTTAGCCAATGTGGTGCTGAAACCGAAGACTTTTGGTAAGAATGCTCTTTTATCAAACTATGGCAATTATGGGAACGGTAGAGTAAGGTCTACATGAGGTCTCACATACTACCTTCAGGATTTTCTCACTTGTGCACTGTTTCATAGTACAATTTGATGTGGGTATGTACAGTGGTCTGCATCAATTGAGGTGTATCGGAGATTGTGATCCTGCGGTACTGATCATGAAGTTGCAAGTTATATTTCAGGCTTCATTCTGATGAAAGGGGAATGCAAGAAACATTTGTATCATACCTTGGATGCATGTTAAAAAACCCTATTAATAAAAATTAAACAGGAAGCGTCCGCTACAGCAACCCTGACAGCTTATTCGGCAATTTTGAGTTGTCGAATCTCACAGCCTAGTCGTACCACAGTTCCTAACTTGTCTGTATGAAGTAAGCGCTGTGTGAGGTTACTGTTACATGAGTGTGCCTGGTAGTATTTTTGTAAATATATATTGTTTGTAAAGCATTCATCAATTTAAATTGTATAGTAGATAGTCCTAAGTAGTAGCACTATGCTGCTTATGAGTATCACTCTGCGCCTTTCAGAATTGCAAGAAAGCAATGTAAGGCTTAAGCTGACAATTGTGGACACTGTTGGCTATGGGGACCAAATCAACAAGGAAGACAGGTTTGTTCTCATCGTTTGTTTTGTTTGCCTGTCACTGTGAATGACCTCTGGAATGGTTGTCGTGGAAAATTGATTGGTGAGCATTGTCCAAAATAAGGAGTGGCTGTCTAGCTGAGAAGGCATTAAAATTTTGAATATTAGGAGCTTGTCTTTCCTTTTGAGAGAGTTGCAACGCTTGAAGTAAGAGTGAATGTTGTATGCATGAATGCCCCAAGCAATACGCACTACTTGGAATGCACCAGTGTTGTTGGTTCATTATTCACTGTGGTGTACTACTGCTTCTGGAAGCGCACTGCAAAGTTAAATACAACGAGCAGACTGAAGAAGAGACAAGCTTCTTCGCATCCTGTAAATGAGAGATACTTCCTGAACCTTGGCACACGGGGAAACCCTGCGAAGGCACACTGCTTGCAAACATTAGCTGAGGCAAAGGGCTACAAGGCCTGTGTTGACATTGACTGTCTTTTGCTGTCCTGATAACTGGACAGTTCAGTTCTTCTAACTTGTCAAAAGCTTACTGCTCGATTTGTAGACCTCTCGGCCAACGGTGTAGGTCGGCAAACTCATTCACGAGTCGACTGTTTGATTCACTCAATTTTCTGATCGCCCTGTGAGTCTGTGTACCTTGAGCACTTTTTTCTTCAAATACACGGCTTTTTCAGTGCGATTGCACACGCACGCGTTGACAAGTGACGGCCCCTCACGGCGATCTCTGTAACGACCGATCGCGCTATGTTCAAATCGGCCAATGGCTGATAGATGGGCATTCTACGTGTGATTTTTTGATCGTCTTCTATCATTTGTCGAGGGAACAGAAGGCAATTTTAGCCGACTTCGATAATTTCTTGTGAATTACAGGGCGCGTGCTGCACTATAACATTTGGCTCGCGTGTGCTCAGGAGCCTCTACTACTGATAGGCAGCGTTTTCTGACCATGCTCAAAAACTATTGCAGGGCCCCTTTAACTAGCGGGGTCTCTGGCGCTGCGATCGTGCTGCGACCATGGGAATTATAGGTATGACTTGGATTGGCCTAGTCTTTACGCTTGCGGGCAGTAAATTGCACTTGTGGCTTCGTTTATTGCTGCGTTTCGGTTATCTTTCAAATGAAAGAACAAATTGTTTCGAACTTTGTGTGCCGATTTGAATTGGTGATCCTAAAAGGTGAAGGTGGTAAAACGTAACTATCGAACATTTGCTGATTGTTGTTTCGTTATAAAGCAGTTTCAAGCCACGTGAAGCCAGAAGGTACGTGAAGTACGAAGACTAGGCAAATCCATGTGCTACCCATAATTCCCATGCTCCTTGAAGCGCCATAAGTTGTAGCTCCCATAGACACTAGCGCCAGAGTTCCCTCTAGTGTATATTAGAGAAACTCTATGCCTGTACTTATCCTGTGCAAACTCTTGCACTGGAAGTTTCTGATTGAAAAAGTTAAGTCAGCATATAACCATGTAACGTTGCCTTCGTGGCTGTTGCTAGGTCTTTCCTTGGCGTAGACAGAGTAGAGCTGAACCACAACCTGCCACAGGCCTTGAAAGAATGTGCAAACTTCAGTGGAACAAACTCTCATGCAGACCTGGCTGTGGCACCTCCAGTAAAAGCGCGCCTTTCGTCGCTCGTACTCGGCTTGCGCTGGGCAAACTAGGCCTGGCGGCTGCGCAGACTGTCTCCCGTCGGTGGCTTGGCGGTGGCTGCTCCTTGGCATATGCGCTGCTAGGCGAGCCTAAGCCCAGGTGGTGAACACCTGTGGCTTTGTCGTTGCTAGGCAGTGGTGCGGAGGATTTTTTTGCATGGACAAACTTTCTGTCTTGAGCTTTGAAAGCTTCATCATTGAAATATCTCGTGTTAGTCCCATCTTTTATTAAAAAAAACTTCCTTACTGCATCACAACTACTCAATGTAAGGACCAGGAGGTGCCACATAGAGCACAGATTACTTGAGATGCTTGCATAAGAGAGCATTGACAGCAGGCCTGTAGCCAGCAATTTTCTTGGGGGAAGAGGGTAAAACACCGCCTTCATTCAAATTTAAGGGGGAAGGATGAGAATAAAGCACCCTTTTTGACTACGATCCTGATTGGCATCATAGCCAAAGAAGTGGTTACTATACCACTTTAGCGTAGCGCAGTTTGAGCATGAAGATGCTATACGGTAAAAAGGGGGGAAAAATCAGACGACAGTGTGAGTGCTTCTCTGTTCTTTCCCACTTCTTCACCGTATAGCATGTTTCTTTTATGCCCAAACTGAGCTGTGCTAAAGCAATACCATTTTTTCATGCACCGTCTTGCCCAGTCAGCAGTAATTACTATCGCTAACGCACTCTTGTGTCACCTCACCAAGACTTGCTCGCACCCCGCTGTGGGGCTGAATGAGTTCGTACGAATAATATTTCTGTAAGCCTGGCCAGTAAATTCATTTTAAAAAATTTTAGTCGGTCCGAGTTCAAATGAGAGTCCAGTTGAGAAAGATATGGCGAGCCTGTGGCAGGTTGTGGTTGCACGAAATACATATTTCTTGTGCAAGTCTGAACTGAATGAGCTCCACACTTTTTGCTCACTTATGATCAACAGTGCCTTATGGCATTCATTGTGTAAACATAGTTTAAATGGTGGCCTGTGCCATTTTGTTACTGTTTTTTTTTTTCCTTGAATTTCGTGTATCTTCTTCATAACAAATGCATTTCATAGGGCTTGGGGAGTAGCCCTCTAAGACTATGCCAGCATATTTTAAGCGAGAATGTGAAGTTCCAAAAGTGTTGTGCTCTTATTTCTCTGTTAAGTAGTTTCATGGCTGTTGTGTATGTTCTTTTTATTATTATTATTATTATTATTCTGGGTTGTCTGGTAGGGATAGAGGACTCTAGGAAATGGCAAACAAATTGGTTTGCAGCACAAAGTATGCTACTCTCACGAAAACCCCTGGAGTACTGTCACAGGGAAATCGCATAAGTTTAATGGGCAAGCACTGCCATTATGAGTAATCTTTGGCCTCTTCTAAACACAAAATTTCGAAGGTGAGATAATGAGCGGGATAGATTTATGGGGAGACCTACACGACATCTACAAGATATCAAGGGCAAATATAGCCTCGAACATATTTGAAACAAATCTTATTGTGCACGCCGTGTGACTGAAGGAGATGTGGAGCCTCTCAGGGCCCCGACATCAATGCAGGAGCAATGTAAACAAACCTACGTCACGAGTTTGTGCTGGCTGGCTGCTCGCCCATGCTTTGTGCTTGCGCTATCTGTTATTTTTTCCACCGTGCCTGAAGTTTCGTGTGTGCTGGTTGTGCTTGCTGTCAGTGTGGCGCCCACATCACAGTATTGCGTGGTCACGTGACCAACTGCGTCCGCCTTGCCCCCAAAACTGCTTGTTCCTAGCTGGATGCTCTTTGAAATTGAGACTGGTCATTCTAAAAATGTCTCTAAGTAAATAACCGTTGTGCACTCGTGCAAACGAGGTTTTCAGTCGTCATAAGTTGTTCATAGTCTATCGACTGCACAATTTTTGTGTCAGTGCTCCTGAAATAATGTGTTTTATTTTCCATGCTTTGCGCACTCTCTGTATTTATAGCTTCAAAGCCATTGTGGACTACATCAATGCCCAATTTGAAAACTACCTTCAGGAAGAGCTTAAGATCAAGCGTTGCCTGTCGCTGTACCACGATACCCGCATCCATGCCTGTCTGTACTTCATTTGCCCCACCGGGCATGGGTAAGTTTTGGGACATAGTAACCTAATCGTTATTTATATCAGTATAAGACTAGGGTAAGGAACGGTGATGCGAGTGAAAGGCCGCTTCATAGCACGCATCTGTGAAACACCTGTCTCGAGACGTCACTAGAAACTGTACGATGTGTGAGTTCATCTTTAATGTTGATAAAAGATTTTCGGGAGTGGGAACTGCCCTAAAACTTCAAATTTCTTCAGTGTGTATTTGGTTACTGCTGTATACTGTATCTCTGGATGGGCATCTCGTTATAGATTCATCACTCATATATTATCTTCAGGCTTTCGCTACTGTCAGTTCTAGAATTTTGCTTCAGTTATAAAAACCATTCTGGCATCTGTTGAGGCTTACAGTGTCAATATGTTCACAACCCTGTGGTTCTAGATGTTGAGATGTGCTGGAATGTGGTGGTTGTGCACCACGGTCTGCATATGAAAGTACATATAGTAGCGCCCTTCCTTTTCATCACCTGATGTCTCATTTGCTTCGAACCTCATTATGACATTGTACAGCCATCAGCACATTCAACTAGAACATCGGGTCATGTGGTCTCGATCGGTTTCTACTGACGGAAACGTCGCCAAGTGCTGGATATGGTATTTTTGCAGCAGCTTACAATAGATGGAGCACAAGTTGATTACCCTGGTGAATTTCTGTTTCTCCTCTGTCTGACTGGTGGATAAAATTGGCATGTCAGCTTTCGCCCATAAATTTGTTGTGGTATGCTGGCAATGAATTGCATGTGACTGTTGGCGCACCTTTCGAGTTTGTAATCACAGCTGGTGCTTGAAGTAAATGATATATTCGAAAAACAGAGCAAAATTAGGTTGATTGCATTTGTAAAAGTTTTGCAGTAAATAAATGTGAAATGCTGCATACAGTAGTTCATGTTCTGATTCATTAATTTTTCAGACAGTGTAGATTGGACTGTTCTCGCAATCTAGTGTTTGCCTTCTTGTTGTGTTCAGGATGCACTGAAGATATGGCATTAAAGTTCTATACTCGAAAGGTGCATTTGTCGTCACACGCAATGGTTCATAGCAGACATAAGCATACGGCAATGAATTTCATTGTCGTGTGTGCGAATGCAGCAACAAGTAAAACACTGCAAAAACAGGCCTGCCAATTAAATGTAGTTGGGCCGCTGGTCATGTAGACGAGAAACAAAAATTTAGCACTGAAATAGACCCATGCTCGAGTTGTTGTAAGCTGTTGCAAGCATACCTTGTTCAATGCTTGGTGGTGCTGGAGTCCGTTGGAAGCTAGGCCAGGCGACACGGTGGAGTGTTTGAGGTGACTGTGCTACCAGTCGTACTTAGAATTTCACCTTTGTAACAATTGTCTGGGCTTGGTCTTTACATTTGTGTTGATTGTTTTTTTTTTTTTGTTTTTTCTTGGGGCTTAATTGGAACGCTTTTTTTATATATATAAACGTGTACTGTGCTAGCATTCATGCAATCTGAGGGTGCGCTTATAAAGCTTTGGAGTTCCACTTGCTGTCATCGCCTGACACTTTGTTTTTGTGTGCCATTAGGCTGAAGTCTATTGACCTTGTGTGCATGAAGAAGCTGGACAGCAAGGTGAACATCATTCCCATCATCGCCAAGGCAGACACTATATCCAAGACAGAGCTGCAGAGGTTCAAGATTAAGGTTAATTTTTCATGCTTTTCTTGACACCATGTTTTTCTCACTCCGGTGGTACGCCAATCATGCTACAGTATAACCTCATTACGACGGATCTGCTTACAACAGACATTCCAATACTGCCTACCAATTGGCACCGTTATGCCAATCACCGATTTGTTAATAATCAGTTATGCGAAGTTATGTTGACGAAAAATCAGCACAGCGTGTTTGGTTTGCGTTTTGGGGTGCTGACGCGCAAAATTTCTAACCGCTAGCAAGATTGCTAACCGCTGCCGCCGCTGCGTAGGGAGCTTGGTCAGCCGGTCCACGTTTCCAAAGAGAAAGCGGGCGACGTAATTCGATATTTTTTATGAAGCACATTACGACTTCTCAACTTTCACACATCCGCTAGCTTGCCGCAAAGTTCGTGGTGGAGTTGGGCCTAGTCACAACTTTGAGCAAAAAGCACAATGCGATGTGTGTGGCCGCAGTGCTCGATGTTTCAATTTCAGAGTATGTGCATCATGCTCGGTCATGAGTACAAGGTGTTGTTCTGCAAGGGTCATCATCACAAGGTCAGAGGTGCTGATAAGCAGAACCTCTAACAACGGGCGCAATTTGTCAGTGCTATCAAATTTGGTCCGAGACGTGCTGTACGACTTTAGTGACATGTTTGGCCCGCTATCGTCCTCCGATTATTGAATTTTCGCTTGCAGCTTCCTTAACTACAGCTTATACGTGTTCTAAATTATGTTCCATCCGTGGGCACAGAATGCGTGCAAAAACATCACAAGTAGTCCAATTTCCGACAGCCATGACCTCACGATGCACACGCGGCAGATGACGCTTTCTCAGAGTGAGTGTCAGACCAATGACGAGACGTGCTAGAGAAACACGGCAAAAGCAGCCAGTAAGGGCCTTGAAATGAATTTCAAACATTTTTTTGTACACTTGTATCGGAATGTAAGACTAGCTGAAATGGGGAATTTAAACATGGAAATATGAAATGCTTTTACAGCAAACCTGAGATATTGGCACCAGGTTGTGCCATCAGGGAGCTATAATTTCTTGAAAAACTTTTTTTGTCACTTTTGCAATAATTTTTGCCGCCTTGGCAGGCACAAAAACTTCTTTGCAGCACTTCTATGTACGTTTTCAGCGATGATATTATGGAATCGGAGCGAAAAGGCTACAAAAACATAAAATTTGATTTTGAAAAATTTGTTTTTTTTAAATGCTTCCATTGAAGATAAATTGGTTTATGTCTTGTAATGTTCTTTTGTTATAACAGGCCCACTCAGTGTTTACGTAAAAGTTCGTTGTAACAGTACTTGGATCCCACATACTTCTTTTACAACAAACCAAAATTATCTTGGGCTTAGGGGTCTGTTGTAATGAGGTTATACTGTACTTACAGAGGACTATTCTAAACTGTTGTATGATGCAAAAACCAGCCATATAGGCTGTGGAATCCGGTCTTGTCCAAATAGCAGGTGCAGAGCACCTGAAGTAGCCTGTAGCATAAGCCAACTCTGCTCCAAGGAACATTGGTGAAATTATTTTTCAAAAAGACAACCAAGCACCTAATTAAAGGAAGCATTAGGAAATACGATCATAATGCACATATTTCTGATTAAACGAGTCTGAAAATTGCCTGCGGGTTAGAATCAGGGGGAAAAAAACAAAATCAAGTAGGTAACAGTCTTCGATAAGAGGAATCTGTACAGTGTCATTGCCATCATAAATTAGCGACAGAGCACGTAATTCGTGGGTTTGTCACGGTTCATTTCATGCACAACTTTGAGCTGTGTTCATCAAGTCTGTTGTTAATTAAGTGCACTTGGGGATCTGGCACATTCATCATAAAGACTGATGTGTGGAAAAGTTATTTTCGCTCACTGTATATACATAGCTGCATTGCGTCGTTTTTACATGCCATAGGCCTTTTAACATAAACAGCGCAGACAAAGAGAGGAGATACAGTGCATGGCGGGCAAAATAAGCTCTTATGGGTTAAAACTAAAAAATATTCAGGCCTTGAAGACTATCTTGCCGAGAATCTTAAGCAACTCAGTGTAAACAAACCCTGTCTAGTTAGCGGTCCTTTAATATGCATGCAACCAAGGAGTGTCCAGATAACCACGAAAACTGGACCATTCCAAAAAAGTAACTGGCAAAAGCATAAATTTTTTATTCTGTGAAGGTGTATTATACTTGCCATGCTCTCTCTCTTCTTTTTTTTCCAATCAACAAAGAGGCATGTTGGTTATATATTATATATTCAGATATATTTTTACCCTGAACCCTCAAGAATTGGATACATGTTTAACTTTTGAGTAAATACAGAACTTTTTCTTCAGATGGTACCACAGAGCTTCCGCATGAAGCGGGCTCGGCGCAAAGAAAGGTTGAAAATTGAAGTTTTAAGCACATTTTTTCTGAGGGGATTTTGCTGGGACTGAATGAATTTGTTGTAAAACGTGGTTTTCACATTGTCAGGTAACATATCATATGGATCGCATTGTCTGTTTAGGTGTGCACGAATTCCTGGTTAGTACTGTACTGCTGCATGTATTGTAGGACTAGGTAGTGTGCTTACGATAATGTATGAAAATTTGAAAAGAGAGATGGTTCTGTGCTTTAATGCAACCAACCACGAAAAACACGGGAAGAGCTGTCGTAACAATGTGAAGCTACACTTCATTTTTCAAACTAGAATCCCTGTCGGTATTAAGTTCATGAACATCTTGTTTTACACATTTTTTTTTCTCTGTAAGCAGTTTAAACGCTCCACCATGGTCTTGGAAAGTACTGCCGTTATCAGACAAACATATGAAAACATATAATGTACATGCACAATTTATGTTGCCTACGTTTTGCTTGAACTCTAAAATATAAAGAGCCCTTTAGAATATCTAGGCATATTCACAGCACAAATGCCACTGCCCTGGTTTGTTTCTTGCCTTTATTGAAAGAACACTGCAATATCTTGCATGACGTTTGCAACCCGAGTGACTTGGACTCTTTTCCTTTGATTGTCAGATAATGAGCGAGCTTGTCAGCAACGGAGTTCAGATTTACCAGTTCCCAACAGACGATGAAGCATCTGCAGAGCTTAATCAGAGCATGAATGTAAGTGTGCTTTGTTACTATCTTGGCTTGTTATGCCTTGAAATACTATCCTCTGTGTGCCACTTCATTGCGATGATCATTTTGCCTTCTTTCATCCGTGTGCTAGCATTTTACAAAGTGCATCTTGGGATGAAATTTCAGGCCCATGTTCCACTGGCTGTCGTAGGCAGCACAGATTTTGTGCGAGTCGGAAACAAGATGGTCCGAGCACGCCAGTACCCTTGGGGAACAGTTCAAGGTGAAACAAAATTACTGGTTTGCCCAAGTTTTGTATAGAAGGCTGATACGTAGTATAACACAGTTAATCTTCACATAACAAAATTTTCTATCTGACAGAGTAGTATTCAAGTTATGTAACATTGTACACATAATTTACAATCTACAGCAATGTCATTTCATTGTGCAAATAATCACGTGTGCACTTGCGTACTTGGTCCCATTGTTTTGTTGTTGCATTGTTTCACACCAGCTGTCATATCATGTGGATTGTGCAACAGGCGGGTGCTTGGAAGCTACACACCCAATATTAGACTGTAACGCTTTACCTCATCGAGAATGGGGCCATGAGTTTGAGGCCTGGTTACCGTAGGCTTTCATGGACACTATAACAGTTAAAAGACTGCCATGAGTCTTATGTGGACAATGACAAAATGCAAACTGCATATTCTTCAAAATTTTCTTTTTTTTTTTTTTTTGCCACAAGGCACACCTGACATTATCTGCATTATTTCAATAAATGTGTGCACATTATACGAGTACTTTCTATGCTCAGTACTTGCAATAAGTTTCCTCAAAAAGTTTATGATGAGCTCTTACAAGGCTGCTCTTTTAATTCACCCTGTGGCTGGGCTCCATGTTGCACGTACACCTATATTTGGGTACCTTAGAGTGCAATTCAAAGGTGCCCTGCTACGATGGGCTTTAGTGGGTGCCTTTAACGGCTCCCTCAAACACTTACTTGTTCAGCATGGTCAGAAAACGCTGCCGATACGTAGTCACTTACAAAAAAATGAAAAAAATAAAACCAAGTTTGGGGTCCCACTTGGACTCTTCTTTAGGGTTGACCAGAAAGTACCAGAGTTGATATACCCATTTAACAGAAGGGAAGATCTCCTCCTTTCTGGGCTGTTGCACGCAAGTACAAAAGCCGAAGTCACAGCTTCGGCAGTCGCGCATGTAAATAACAGCCCAGAGAGGACTGCGGCAGTGCCCAAAGAGCCTTCAATAACAAGGTGCATATAGCCTTCTTTTCTTTCCTTCGTGATGGGTTTTCATGCTTGTTATCAAGGACGTGCCATAATTTATGAAAGAGACCGATTCACGTTACCGAGTGTTGCCTGGATGTACCAGAGCTTCACAAAAAAAGCCGCTTATTCTTATTGACCTCTAAGTCAGTGACGTGAGAGCCAATTTTCATGCTCGGTCGCTCCTTTCTGCACGCAAAAGACAGATCGCCCTTAAAAAAGCGCTCGGAGTAATTTACTCATTTCTTGTGTGGATTGTGATGCCTCATGGGGGGGCGAGGGGGCAGAACTTCTCAGAGAGGCTGCGACAGTAGGGGAACGTCTGCAAGCTTGAGAGACAGAGGAGTGCGCTAACTGAACACAGTAAGGTGAAATATCACCGGCATCATTTTTGACAACTCTCGCACCGTCGAATTAGAGGCCAATTATCATAAGCAATTTCTGTGGAGCCCTGGCACATCCAGGCAACACCCAGTAACGTGAAGCAGTTTGCAGGTCCGCTGAATAGTCTATTTCATTGAACTTCGGCACGTAATTTAGAACAAGTGTGGGCCCCCAGCTAGGAGAAAAGAAAACAAGGCTAGATGTTGCTCTCTAGTTCTCTGCACTCAAGCCTGAAGAAGGCCCCTAATGGAACCTGGAACATTAAGGTTTCTTCTAATCATTTTTGTAAAATAAAAAGTTTTTACTCTTGATGAACAATTGGTTTAGTGGCACTTTTGCACCGATAATTCCTTCCAAACCAGACAGACCTCTGTCAAATTTTAACTTTTGAAGCATTATACCAGCACGCAACTGAGGATTTACAATTCTCTGTCGGCTATAAGTTGCTCACTCTTCTCACGAGAAATGATGCCATAAGCCCAAATTACGTCGCCATAACCCAAAGGCTGCAGCCATTGACCAATTTGACCATTGTGAGGGGCAAAGTTATCGTAAAATGCCACAATTTACCCAAGCATTCGTGATTACACTGAACTTAAGCTGTGTGTTCAAAGAAAGAAAATGTGTTCGAAGTCATAATGCACGCTTAGAAATAGACATAGCCTCTTGCCCGCTTCTCATCCCCCATCCCCTTTGTAGCTATCGGTGCTTTCATTGATACAAAAAAGGGGGGGGGGGGGAAGAAGCGCCTAAAGGGTGTAACAAATTTCTGTACATGATGGGTTCTAAACATTTTTATGGTAGTCGATTCATTGAGGCAATAAGTTTTTTTTATTAAGGCTGCGCAATTATTACACAGAAAAGTGTTTAAAGTGGTCCTGTATCATTTTTCAAACACTTTCTTTTTATTTTCGGATTGCGTTGAGTGAAGGACTGGCAGATAAATACAAAAAGGAAGGCACTAATAGATGTGGGCAGCCCGATGTTATTCATTGCTAAAAATTCAGAACACCAGTAAAATATGCGTGCCGTCAGCTCAAATTTCACAGTGTCTCATTTTCTCACGTCTCTGGCAAACTAGTTATGCAGGACAGCCAGTGACTGAACTCTTGAACATGTGCATAGTAGAAGTTTGCGTCCCATTGTTGTAGCTCCATACAGTGCACCAGTCACTCTTGCCATGGTAACAAGCAACAAGTCCTCACACCACAAGGGAAAGGGGGAAATGAGAACAATTCACTGTGGCGAGAAATATTCACCTCTTAAATACAGTACTCTCTCATTAAATGGAACCTGAAGGGACTGGGAAAATGTGTTCCATTTAACAGGAGTTCCGTTTACTGAGAGGTGAAGTGGGTTGCAGCATTCAAGTATGAAATTAATCATATCAGAGGAAGTTGTTCCATTTAAGCAGCAGTTCTGTTTAACAGATTTCCATTTAGTGAGAGTTTAATGAAAGACTAGCGAGTGTTTTAGAACTCTTTCGAAACGAGGTTGTTCACAAAGGTACAAAAGCGATAAGAGAAGCGTTTTTGCAAAGGAACACGAATGCACGAACGCTTCCTTTGCACAAACACTTCTCTTATCGCTTTTCTACCTTTGTGAACAACCTCGTTTCGAAAGTGTTCTAAAACCTCATGTACGCATTTCTTCACTCTGAGGACACAGGCTAAAAAGCAGCCAGCATCCCTATCATGTTTTGCAGCGGCAGAGCTTCTACTTTTTACCACTGTATTAGTTTACGTTAACGTAAAAAGTACTGTACCCAAAGGAGAGGGCCCCTGAAGGTCTCGGTGGCAACATGCTGCTTGGCTGGGCTCATCAGAATGAGTAATGTGGCTTTGTGTTTCAGTGGAGAATGAGAACCACTGTGACTTCGTGAAGCTTCGGGAAATGCTGCTGCGGACAAACATGGAAGACCTGAGGGAGCAGACGCACACCCGCCACTACGAGCTGTACCGGCGCATGCGGTTGGAGCAGATGGGCTTCTCGGACGTTGGCACTGACAACAAGCCGGTCAGCTTTCAAGAGACCTATGAACAGAAGCGGCAGGAGCACCTCAGTGTGAGTGCCATGAATACTGCCCCAAGTTCCACCCATTTGCACGTTCTTTTTGCAGCATTTTGGCAAAAATGGAAGTCTAGTAATGCCACTAGGCAGGGCTCCTGGGAAAGTGAGGTCCATCATAGAAAGCTTGAAAAGGAGAGTGCATTTTACAAGTTTAACATGCAGTCAATCTGGCTATTGAGGGTTATTTTTGTGACAAAGAAATGCAAGTTTTCTGTAGTTGAACATATTGTAAAATCCGAAGATTTATATCATAGATAACCGGGTCTAAAGCCCTAATACATCTAGAGAGGAAAAGCAGAGCGTCTCGATCCTGCCGTTTATTGCGGCACAGATCAAAGAAAAACCTCCCGTGCCACGCGCCATTCCTCGTTCTCTTCCTCTTGCGCGCGCAATGTTCACTGTTTTTTAACACGTTCTAGAAGCCATATTTTGTCAAGGTTTCCGCCAAGCTTATGTACTGAAAAGACCACAAAAGGCTTAAAAATGGCTAGGACGCGTATGCTAGCATTCGATACCCTATTCAATGTCTGTGCACTCGACCTGAAGGTTGCATATTCAAATCTGGACTGCCCTAATGCTTGCTTTTGTACCATCTCATCTACACTTTTCCTGGAATTTGTAGCTGCATTTCACATTTTGTTGTTCATCTGAATAGGAGCTGCAGCGGAAGGAGGATGAGATGCGCCAAATGTTTGTGGTTCGAGTCAAGGACAAAGAGGCCGAGCTCAAGGAAGCTGAAAAAGAGGTATGGCTTCCACGTGATTTGATGCGTAGCACTTGTGAGCTTTCGCATTGCTTCATTGTATGCCAAGAATAGCAGATTGCGTACTCAACCATCCTCAATTTCTTCTATTAGTTTCGTTATACGGCTTATGTGCTGCAACAGGAAGGAAAAGAAAAAGCGAGTAGAGAAAACAAAAATCTCCGAGCTGCCGAGTCTTGTAGGGGCTCGCTATCCTAACCTTCTTTGAATAAACCCCCAAATGTCTACTGTGGTCGTAGCAATATCATAAATGGGGTTTCGAGGGTTGAAATCTCAGTTTGAAGCATTCCAATCAAACTTCTCCATCATTTTTATTGCCATGTAAGACTAGTACAAATTGTTGAAACATATTTACGAAGAGGGGAGCTTCTCTGGCAGATCACGTGAAAGAATACTAAAAGATGTTACGTGCTGCATTCTTTTCCATTTATTTTTTAATATATTGGCAATGCCAGCTAAAAATTTCAGTCTGCTACATGCCATAAAAACCCGTCGGGCAACTAAGCCTTAAGCGTGTGTGTGTGTATGTAATTGGCTAATGATATCACATGCATCATAATCATTTCAAACATGATTGTTATTTCTAGCGTCAACATACAGTATAAACCCACATGTTGTTTGGACTCGCATATACAGTTAAACCCCTTTATGACAGGCATGCTCCAGACAGCTATTCTTGTCCTTTATATGAGATGTCTCTTATAAGCAGGGTACCATGTATGCATTTTCTTATCAGCCCATATTTTAGTGTAGGTACGCTGGTGTCTCTTATACCCATTTGTCTCTTATACAGTTGAACCCCACTACAACGAACGCTGCTTCAACGAAATTTCCACTACACCGAAAAATTCACGGTTTCCCGTCAGCGGTCCATAGGAGTCAATGCATAAATATTGTCGCCACAGCGAACACTTTTTCTCCTGCCGTCCCGCTTCAATGAAATTTCATGACAATTCTAGGCTCGGATATTTATTGCTATACAGGAAACCCAATCTTTTAACACTTTGATGCATTTTGAGAACCTGAAAATACGTCGACGAAGTCTAAAACGCGCATTGGCACCACCAGAAACCACCGCTGTTGAGCTAGCATGGGCGCCGCCATTGCTCGATAACGATGGCAATGAGACTGCCCTGCTGCATGGAGGATGGCCTTGCTTTTGCCACTGGCTTGCTTTCGAGCCACTGACAATGCGAAGCTAAAGCTCAGTCGCTCAGTTCATGGTTTTCTTCACGCAGCAGCTGCTGCGTGCTACCGCGGAGTGATGCTTTTTCCGATTCCAATGCTTATCATTTTATTCGGGCTTGGCCAGTGTGGTACCTAATCAGAGCAGCTGTTCGTCCGCATTATCAACCAAATCGGCTAGCCACAAGTGATGGATGATAAGAATGGTATAGAATAAGGCAAAAGTCACCGCTCCGCGATATCCTGCCTCCATCTCGGCGTTGTCGGATACACGACGGTGGATGGCTTAACGTGTTAATGCAACCACTGATACGTTTACGAAAGCGGCTCTACGCATTGTTTCAGCGTGGTTTTCACCATGGCCTTGTTATGTATGTCTGTGAACCGCGTCGTGGCACTGCTGGGAAAGAATAGAAAGCAGCGGACACTTCTTTAATTTTAAAAATAAACATTTCCTTATTTTGCTAGCTCAGATCAGCTTTATTTTTTTTATTTCCCTACAATGACAATTTCACTTCAACGAAATATTTTCTGCGCCCTGTGAGTTTCGTCATAGTGGGGTTTGACTGTATCAGTGGCTCTTATAAAGGGGTTCAACTGTATTCCGAGGTGCAATTAAGGTATAATAAATGAAAAAAAAAAAAAAAGAAGTTTTCACTAGGGGTTTGTGGATGTTCGAAATTTCGAATATTTTTCTAATAGTGTTTGCTATTCGATTTGCACTGGAATTTTCGCTATTCGAACTATTCGAATTTCCCAAAGACAAATGCACTCAACGTCTGATTGAACGTGAACCATTCAGATTTTTATTATGCTTCACTCATTTTATTCTCGTATTGCGGTGCAGCTGTCTTTCAATCTCTGCTTTTGTTGAATTTTCTAAAGACAACAGTCCAATTAAAAGTGGTTCCTTCAAATTTTTCTAATGTTTCACCTTATTACACTCCTGTATGCGGCAGAACTGCTTTTCCATCTCCGCTACGATTGAATTTTCAGACACATACAGTCGCACTGCTGTATTGCAGCAAAGCTGCCTTTTATGCTCCGCTGCGACTGTTTAGCTCAAGAAAACGAGGCTTTTAACATGGAGATGATAGATATGGCACAAGGGGGGGGGGGGTTAAATAATGCTGTGTTTTGGACCCGAAATTTGGGACCTGAAATTGTACGCAAAAGATTTTTGGCATGAAAAATTCAAATTTTCTTGCATGTAGGCGCCTATGAGACAGATTTGGAACTCCCGACTCAAAGGAAGCACAACCTTGTCTGTAACATCAATTGGCCTTCTACAGAAATTGAAAGACTCAGGAAATGACATTTTGCCTATCACGTGCAAAGTGTTGTTGACAATACTTCAGTTGTGCTAGGTCATGTACTAATACAATTGAGCCTCTGCATTGCCTGATCCTTGCTAAGACAACTGTGAAATACCAACCCACCAAGCAACATCATGAATAGAAACACTTTCATGTTACTATATCTTATTAGAATATGCTTAGGAATCCTCTCCTACATTTTTTCCCTCAATTTGGCTTCAATATGCAGTTGAAACCATATATATCGAACTCGAAGAGAATTCGAAAATACTTAGTTATATCGATAATTCGATATAAGAAATATGCATATTTAAGGCTTATATTAGTGCATTGCAACTCTCGAAACGTATTTCTGAAATATTAATAAGTGTTAACAGTATGGTCAAGAAAATGTGACAGCTTTTGGAATTTACCGCACTTCACTTTGTGTCGAAATCATCTGTAGACTAGGCTTGCCTTTTGCACCATCATGTTCATCAAGTCATCCTCATTAATTGAGCATTGAAGCTTTTAAAATAAGCGAATTCAGCCCCTTCAGCCACAACAGCGGCGATTGACGGTGAGCGCTGATGCAAGCTCTGTAGCGCGGTAAAATGTTGTTTAGCGGGGGCGAACAATATTTATGACGAACAATATTTCTCACTGGGTGCCAGTCGAGGGATTGTGCGTGCTCCGCAAATGTTCGTCTTATACTCGTCTCTCTTCATACTCGTCTTACTCTTCAAACGTCACACAAGACCTCAGTCTTTGTTATACTCAGGGTGATGTCGCAATGTGCTGCCAACTCAGATGAGCACTTGCCCTTGCTTTAAAAAACCAAATCAAGATATCTTAAAGGTGATAACCAGAACTAATAATTGGCAAGAAGTTCCCCCAGTATACAGGATCATCGAACTGCACAGACATCTTGAGGTTTTAATTTTGGTGTCGGGGGTTCTTTGAAAGCCCCAACGAAGACTTTCTTTTCCTTTCTTTCAGCTGCATGCCAAGTTCGACGCATTGAAGAAACAGCACGCCGAAGAGAAACGCAAGCTCGAAGAGGAGCGCAAGCGACTCGAGGACGAAATTCGGCAGCTGAACGAAAAGAAAGTCCTGGTGCAGCAAGTGCAGAGCCATTCCTCTCACACGCTCACCCTCGGTAAGAGCAAGAAGAAGTGATGTCTGCTCGCTCCAGACTGGCACGTCACGCCGCTCTGCTTGTCACCGTGGGAACCAAGGCTGATTGAAGCAACTCTCTGTGCCCTTTGTTCCGCTCGCCGTTGTGTCAAGCAGAGGGTAAGTTATGGCTGTGGCTGCTGGCAGGCCTTGGTACTGTGGCCAAGTGTCCTCGCTTGCTGTTTTTCTCGAGTGCGAAGTTGCAACGCGGTGGGTGCGACTCTTTTGTAAATGGAGCTTCTTTGAAGGGAACCTCGGCATGTTCGTCTCGTCTAGAACGTTGCATCCATGAAAGGGAGGTCTCGTACTCTGATGTTATTGTCAAAGTGCCCTCACGTGCCCCTCTTTTTTTCTGAGAAGACGCGACACTAGCCACATCAAACCAATGCAACTACTTCAATGGAATGGCATGTCTTATCCCGAGACACTGCATACTGGTTCAAAGATTCTTGAAGGTGCACTTTGGTCTGACCTACTATGGAGAATGACAGGTTCTAAAAGGTCAGCAATGTTAGTGGTTTGTTGCTTACCAGTATAGTGAAAGCGGCTGTGATTAATAACTTTGAACAAGCTGCTGCCAGTAAGGCCTTTACAGCCTTATAAAGTTCTTTTCTTTATTAACGAGGAACAGCCATACTTATGAGCATCTTTTTCTAAATGCATAAGCTGCAAGACTTTTACTTTATCAACCGAAGCTTGCGATTTTTTAGCAGCAGCAATTCATTTTAGCGCCCAGACAAGTAATTAGAGGGTGCAATAAATTGTCGCAGATGCACAAACGAGTTCATGTTTCTTATATAGTATTCATCATCACACAGATTCAAAGGAAAGTGAACTTTTTTGAATTGTGTTCCTTTGCATAATGTAAATACGTATGTGTTCTTCGTCGTCTACTTACAGTGTATAGCATGAAGTGAAATGCCAATGTTTGTGGAAATGCAGCATCTGCCACCAGAGTTTCTATTAGTATGTCAAACTACGGCCACATTCTTACTTGTTAGCGTCGCAAATTCATCGAGAACCTGCATTTGCGAAACGTTTTTTGGGGGCTAGTTAGTTCATGACTTCTGAAGGAAAAAAATTCAGTGCAAAGCAACACATGGGCAGACAAAGAGCACGGGACCGGTGCCAGTCCTGTCCGTGGGTTGCTTCGCGCTAAATAATTTTTTCCTTTCCTGTCCCTGATAAGTAAAATTTGCAAAGATTTATTTTTCTGAAAACAGGTATGTCAGCAAGGTATTTTGTTGGAATTAAGCCGCTCGAAATACCGTATTTACTTGCATAATACTTGCACTTTTTTTTTTTTTCATAGAAAACCGTTGAAAAGTTAAGGGGGGGGGGGGGGGGGGGCAAGAATTATGCAGAGAAAGCTTTTTGTGAAAACATACGGAGTGAAAAATAAAACGAAGCGGCCGCTTATCGGAGGTTCTTGCACCAGCAACTAACTACAAGCTTTGTACTAACGGGACTTTCGTTACAATAAAACCAACGGTGCAAGATTTATTTGCAGACACTAAGCCACTAGCAAGTTGTGTCTCAAGGGTCTTCGCATGATGTAATCAAGAAGTGCTGCCTCAACCTGCAGATACTTTCTAGTCTTATTTCCTATGTTCATAAACGCTCCTTGACTTAAACTTGACTTGCAACCACCTTCAATGCAGCACTGATGCATTTCAAACGGGCTGTCTTCAGTTAAGCACGCTGCCTTGAGGCAGTAGCAAGTCCAGTTCAAGCCAAGTAGCTTTTCTGAATATGGAGGTTAGGCCCACGGAAGGCCCGACATGCCTTGATCGTGGCTCTCAGCTGCTCGTGCTGCTGTCCTCTGTAGCGGACACAGAACTCGTCGACGTCTACGTGCCTGCCGGTGGCCCTTTTGATCTTTTTTCATGCATGATCAATCACTTTGAACTTGAAAGCAGCTGTGTACCTTCCATATCAACCCATAGTGTAACCACAGAAAGGACACAACCGACACAGCGATGTACGCTACATGCTCCGATGTGCCGTAGTGCCTACTTGCCACTTGTGGCTTGGCTCGAATCGGATTAGGGCTTTGTGCATTGACAGTATGTATAGCGTTATAGTATAGATAGCGTTCAGCTTTCTTGTGCTGTTATCATCGGTGATCGGAGGAAGCAGACGACATTACTGCTGCAATTTTCCGGGGTGCGATAATTACTAACGAGAGCAAAAACACTTATTTTTGATGGGTGATGCGGGAGTGTAAGGAATGTGCGAGTAAATACGGTAAAATCATCCTTGTCGGTGGGCCAGAGAAAACACTCGGCCAAAATGTTCACTCTTGTAGCAGCCACAGTAAACTGGCAGTTGAGTCATATCGGCAGTGGTGATTCAGACAATGCAGGCCATGTGCCAGGCCGCACTTTGTTTCTCAATATTTTTTTTACCATTTTAGCACATGTAATTATGTGTTAGTTTGATGTCAGATTTAATTAATTTTGCCTACCCTAGAAAGTTCAAGAAGCATGTTTGAACAGAAAGTGTAGGTGGAAAGTACCAATGCTAAATCGACAGAAATCTTATGTGTGTTTCGTACCAATTTCTTTCATACCTTTATTTTTTTCAACGCCTTTGCTTCATGTACCCCGTTAATTCTAAGCTTGTTTCAGAAGTCTAGGACTCCCTAAGCTCAAGCAGATTTTGTGAAGTGTTGCTTTGTATGGTGTATCTTGACCCTCTGCAGCTTGTGCTTGTAATTTTCATTCTATAAAAGCTGGAATCATGTATAATCACAGCTTACTTCATCTTATTGTTTTAGATTTATTTATGCGAGTTCTTTGTTCCATACTCTCAAAGCGATTTACCAGTGCTGGCACAACGGTGCCATGGTCTGGACAGACACAGCAAGCATCCAAAAGCTAATGTGTATTGTAGCTTGCAAAATACACTGAAGTGAGCGTGAGTGTTTTCAGATCAAAATGAATTTTATTTACAACTGCCTTTTTTTCTCTTTTGGTCTGGACAAAGCATGCATGTTGTCTCATGTTCTATATTGATTCGCAGCGTTGAAGGAAATGTACTGGTAGCAGAGTCTCGCAGTGCACCACTCCGCTTTTGAGTGCCTGTACGGGTCAATTTCGGGCACCGTTCTTTCAATTACTGTGGGAGATGCCCTGCTTATACCTACTGAAGTTTCTCATGAGGCGTGGAAGTCTCTCTGATGAAATAAGTTCTTATGGCTACATGAACTGCCGACTTGCACTGGCAGGCTGCCAACTGTCGTGTTAACTTAATGCAGCAAACACTTGTTGTTGTAGAAGAGACTACTTCATTTGTAGTAACATTTTACCCTATATGTTTTTCTTGCATGTTTTACATTAGGGTAGTTTCCAGTAATCATTTTGTTTTATATGGACAATAGGTGCATAGTGTCTTAGTCAAGTAGATACTACTACGTGGTTTTTTTCACCACCGAAGGTATGTTTGTGCATATAGCCAGGTGATTATTAAGCAATCTTGCCCATTGCACTTCTCAGTGACAGTGGCATTCTTGTGCTAAACAGGAGGCTGGAAGTTTGAAGTGTGACTTGAGCAGCCGCTTGTGAGAGACTCATCATTTCTGTGTGAGGCACATTATATAGAAACATTGCAGCAGACTGAAGGAGCCCGTGGTTGAAATCATGTCAGAGAGATGGAGAGTACTTTATTCAAAAGCAGTGAGGTGTGTTGGTGAAGAAGTACTTGCTTATATGTTGCTGCATAATGGGGGGAAGGGGCCAGGATAAAATGGATTAAATATATAAGGGATTTTTATTGTATAATTTGCAACACTCAAATGCTAAGAACAAAGATGCCTTGAAGTGTGCATACTTTATTTTGCATTCTGCCATGTTAAAGTGTAAATGTACCTGCACAATAACCATAAGCAGATTGCAGTGTGTGAATTTATGTTAATACTATTTCACTTGTTTTGGCACCTGATTTTGGAGCAACTATCTTTGGAAGGGTGTTATATTGAAATGAATAACGAACTTGGATGTCAATTTTAAGCAGCATGTCAAAAATCTATAGTGCGATAAATCGGCTTACTGTGCTGTCATGCTGACAGAGTCAAACAGTCAAGGTGTTATAATTGTGGATATGTCAGTGCAAGTGTTGTTAGGTAGCGTTGGTCATACCAGACAGACCTCTTTTGTCATACCAGACAGCCAAGGTGCTGGTGGTAAAATTATTGCACTTACTGGGTCTTGTGATGGCAGAAATGGTCACAGCTTGACTTGCTTCATACTTGGCTGCAGAAATTTTTCACAAGCTTGTGACATGAGGCCGGTTCTGAAGTTGGAGCCCATTTGCAGGGCAAGTTAACTCAGCGTGGCTGGGACCAAAACTATGCTGGGCTGGTGTTTGTCCATAGGGGTTCTTAGCTTCACCCTTTTGTGGGTGTGAGAGGCAAGTGCGATTTGTTATGTGAAGCGCTGATACTAATGCGAATTGAAAATCAGTAGTAAGCATACATGCCAAGTCTCCCGGATTTGCCGGGAGACTCTTGGATTTCGACTGTTTTTTTCCGGTTGTACGGTTGTCATGAAAATCTCCCTGAAATCGAAATTTCTGTGCGTGATCTGACCGCATTGACAAAAAAGCAGCTCATTTGTCTCCAGGCTTTTCGAACCTACCCCATTTTATTATGAGTTTAAGAGGCGTTCACGTAAACGTACAGTATAATCTCAGTGATGTGAAACCGCGGCAGATACGAATTCTTGAAAATCCCCAAGCCAAATTCTATTATGTTCATCGGGCCTCAATTCGAACGTTCCGAACACATTTTTTAAGCGCAGCGGGTGATACGAACTTTAGTACACAAACCCTCGAACGAAGGTCGAGAGCAGCGTACTCGAAGCTTCGGACCGGCGCACGCACTGTCTTCTACAGTGCGTGTGATTGTCGTTGCCACAACCGCTGTGGACGAAACCGCGGTCGCTCTTGACACGATCATGTATGGCGACGACGTAACTGACGGAACCCCAAAGTGTGCGCTCAACCCGTCAAAGCAACGCTGCTTTCCGCAAACTCTGCGGACAAAACTGCGGCAGATGCTATTGTAGATGGCATAAAACGACTTGGTTTTGAAGGCGCATGCGCAGCCAAGGGCATGGGGATTGTAAAATGAACTACCGTTTGCTGAAACCGTCGCGCACAAAACCCTGGTCGCAATAGCGATCTACGAGCTCCGAGGGCACGCAGCGGTAGGTTAAAGGCAGTAAATACGTAAAAAATAAAAAAAGTTACAGTTTCGCCGCAAGGGCGAAGCAATAAATGCGACAACAACTTGGAATGTAACGCTGAAAATGGCATGCAGATCGAAATGTGCAGCGCGCTGCTCACACACAAATGACGCACGAAAACTATACTCGCAGGACGAGAGCGAACTAACAATGTTTCCCGTAACGCGCTGTTTAAACAAAAATGATTCACGATACGTAATCACAGGTACAGATGAGTACAAACTAACAAGTGTCCCAGATGTTATACCTCGCTGTGTGAAAAGAGTGCTGTTTTCGCAAAAGGGTCCTGTGCAGAGACTGACGTGACATTAGTGGGCCCCACATAACGTTTCGTTTCAGTGAAAACCGAAGCACATGATTCCCCCACCAAAGGATAATCGTGCGCGCACAGGCATCCATCCATGGGGCAAAGTACACGCGAGAGATAAGCAAGCGTCGGCGCATCGCGACGAGCTCGGCGGTGAGCGCGGGCGGCTTTTTTTCTTTGAGTGTTTATATATATAGGTACGTATACATATACGGTGAAGGACGGTGGTGGTGGCGATGGCAAAAAAACAGCCTGGACTGTCCATATAATTGCTATCACAATAAAAAGAGGTCAGACACGTTTTGGCGTTCCTGCCAAAAGAATCTAGTAGTGAGCAAAGCTTTGACCCGTGCTTTTACGGCAGTCAGCTGCGCCGTCCCGTCCGTTCACGTGTGTCCCAGGAAGACATACGCGAGTTGTTTTAACTGCAATAGATTCTGCTAGTTGTGTTGATCCTTTAGACTCTCACCTTAGTGAAAAATTCTACCCTCGTGTGTTCCACGACTCCTAGCCACTATAAGACCCCAACGCCGATGTTGGCGCTTGTGATTGAGACCCCCTTCCCACCCCCTTTTGTTTTTCGTGATGTTGTTTTTTTTTTTTCTATGCCCTTGTTTTTTTTTCTTGTGTCGCACACCCCCCTTCCCCCCCCCCCCCCCCCCCCCCCCATTGCGGAAATCTCCCGGATTCAGAATCCTTGAACTTGGCAGGTATGAGTAAGGCATACATTGTGCTTAATGTTGGTGAAGTACCGAAGGAAAAAAGCTTTATTGTGCAATTTCTTTCTAAAAGGCAATGAAATAGCCAATTATTGAACACTGTCTGCTTATTGCTATACTGATTACAGCTTCATCATTTTGCCCATGTAATGGTTGAGCAGCACTTGTCTTGATGTACATTTTTATCATGTCCTGTACCTTTTGCGATACTTAGCTTAGTCAGGGCATTTAAAGCAGTACGTTAGTGACAGATCACGTACGCTTTTGGAGCTTCACTGGTGCACTGTGGAAAAGATGTTCGTGCCGGGGCCAAAGCATACCTGCAGCTTGTGGCAGTAGTCTGCTGTTAAATGGCATTCGCCAAGGGACTTATTAGTCCCTCGGCGAATTATTAGTTACATGCAATAGTTACATGCACACTGATGGTGTTTTTTCAATACTGGGTGTTAGTATTGTAAGAGCCCAAATGTCATCATGGCAATGAAATCGGGGCTGTTTTATCAGGGGATAACTTTCAAAGACACTTTCATGAAGCTGGTGCTGATAGCGCCAGCGTCTAGGGGCAACAGTGTTCTAGCAAAATACTAGCACATTACATGGGATTACACTTAGCATGGATTCTGACCGACGCTAATTTTACATAAGTGCATGTATGTCCTGCACTAACAGCTCGAAAAAGCTTGAGAAACCGTGCTAGAAAGCTGAAGCACATTTAAACTTATTTCAACTGAAAATATTAATACTGTTAAAGAAAGTAATACGAGCAGATCCAATCTAGCCCTACCAACCAGCTCAACTTCCTGCTGTTCTTGATCTCTTTGTGCGTAGATTGGCCAGACTTGTAAAAGGGAATCTGCACTCCTCCACTCAGATTTTTTTCACATAGCATAGTTGAATGAATTGAACCACCTAGTCTATCAAATCGGTTGAGTATCGCACAAGATGTTGCATAGAACAAAAGTGAAAATGGTTTGTAATGTTATCGATGAACTGCCCTTTTCTTGTTGTGATCTTGGTTGAATGGATTGTAACATCTGACTTGCTTAGGCAAAGACTGGGCATCCACTTGTTGTGTCCTGTATTTTGTGCGTGGCTACCATGGTTAATCTAGATAACTTGCTTAGTGCATGTCTTCGATAGAGGGTCCCCTTACTACACAAGGAATCTGCATTTTGAGAGGTTGCAAGCTTTTGTCAGTGTTTTAACAGCTCCTATGTTCATGCGAATGGATGTAAACAGAAGACAACCTTGCAACATGAGTTGAAGTGCACATGTATTTCCAGAATAGCTAACAATGATATGCTGTATTTATGCTTTAAACAAAGCATGATTCAGTAGTTTATTGTCATTGGTTACTGACATTTCCTTTTTGTTGTTGCCCAATTAATGCTTATGTTGTGTCTTAATATTCTGTCATTTGTTTTGTATTGGTTCGCAAGTGAATGAAGTTTGCTTGTGGTCATTGTCAACAAATGGTTCTATCATATGGTAGCCACTGAAAATGCCATTGGTTCACAGTTTTACCGTGACCTGACAGTTTTTCGGTGTTTCGCAAAACGCAGGACTGAGACGATGTATTGTTTAACATATGCCAGAGATGCCCCTTAAGGAAGGAAGTCTTTTTTCTGTTCTACTTAATAGAATGAATTACCCTACTGTATGCTTTTATAAACATGACCTGGAGATTGCTCACAAACGTTTTTCTCCTCCCTAGACATTCCCTTAAGGTGGTGCATTGCTACCATGAGTGTGAGTGGTACACTGATATATTTGCTTTTGTACAAAACGAAGGAAAACCTCCAGCTGTATAACTTCAGATCTAGAAACCTATAACTCTGCTTGCATTTATCTTGCAGATCTTAAGTGTCCTTGGTCTTTGTGGTCTGTGTCATGTGTGCTTCTTGCCTAGTCACTGTATAAACTGTGCTATTAAAGGAAACTCGTAATGTGGATTCGTATCATCTCAAGGCTGCAGCGTGCTGTGTCTTGGTGCAATTTTTGCTATGGAACTGCTGCCACGAAGGAATAATTTGATGAAGAAGTGCCATAAGCTATGTATACCACTTATTTAACATCATTGTGAAAATTAGACTAATTAATGCTTTTCGCACTCCTCCGTGTTGGCTAGTCTAGTTCAATGGATTAAGTTTGTGCCACGGGTAAAGTAACAATTCATGGGTAGGCAAGGATTGTGTTCCGACACCTGCAGCATCTTATTGCCTAAATGATCTAACGGTTGCACCTAGCCTGTATCAATGTAACTGCAAGAGTCAGTAGAGCCTCGATCTACATTGTCCTCAGCACTATTTTTCGATTACCAAGTAGCATTTGGACTGCAATCCTCACTAGCTGGTTTGATAATTTTCTGAACTAAGGCAATATTGCTTTCGGTTTTGTGCTGTAATTGGAGGATGAAGGTAACATGAATAAGAGCACTAGAGGATGAGAACTGGTGGTACAGTAGTTGCCACAATTGACGAAGCTTATCCAATGTAATTTGTTTGGGTTCACACTGAGCCTGATCGACAAATTTTATGCCAAAAAATTTCATTGCTGTTAGATGCATGTTGTTAACCAGGAGGCTGCGGGCATCGTTTGGTGGTTTATTGAGATTATGAAATAAAAAATAATTACAGCTAAAGTATCAAGCACGCACCTGCACTGTCCATTATCACATGAGAACACAAATTCTGGCATTAACTCCAGTCATACTCTTTAGGCGGCATTGCAACAGAGAGATATTTGCGGATATTTTTCACGTGGTGTTGCACCCAAAGTTTCTGCGTCCACTTGACACGATTGTGCAAGATGTGATGTGTGTACGGTGTAGCACTGGTTTTGTGCAAAAAAGTTGTGCTATATCTTTTGCTGTGGTCACTTAGCTGGTAAGGTGTCGCGTGGGAAAGGTCGAGGACATGGGTTCGATTCTCTGTAACTTCAATAGGCGCAGAATGGGTAAACACATTTACGTGAATTTGGGTGCAGGTTAAGAACACCGGGTGGTCAAAATGAATCTGCACTCCTTCACTACACTGTGCCTCAACCATATCATACAATCGCATTGACACAGCAAGCCCCTCTAATTTTACCGGTGGCTTGAAATACTCTGTGATCATGTGCCACATTGTCCTGAGTAACCGTATCTATTGTGCACAAAGTATCACACGCAGCCTATTCCCCAGTTCCACCCCAAGTTGGATAGTGGTTGATGTGCATTTCAATGCCTGCTTGTGTCGCCTGAAATTGTGCATGCAAATCCTTTAGTCCATCAGTCACTGTAGAAGAGTGGCTCGGTTGACAATTCATCCATCAGTTCTTTGACTGACGCAACCACATTCGAGTAGACCAGTCTCGCGGAAATTGTATACATAAACTTGTCGACAACTACGTGCTCCTCGCCCAAAAACTCCCAGTACGAGGTTCTCCAAAAGTTGCTCTTGCGGACGCCGCAGCATGACCTGTAATGGTGCATGACCATGACCGACTCGGAAATGGCAACTGTTCTCGCGCCTTTCGCGTGCTCCCATACGAAATGTACCCCGCCCGAAACCACCGCTGTCGTTCTGGCGACGTACTTGGAGCGCTCGTAGTGCTTCCAGACATTGGCTTCGCGTAGGAACAGAATACGAGAAAGCATCGGAGGCTTATGGCGGAGGTAAGCGGCGTTTAACGGGTACTCATAGCAGAAAAACTGGTTCTTAACTAAAACACTCCCCAAGGAGTTCTTGCCGACCGAGGTCTCAATTTCAAGTATCGCGTCGGTCAGCCTGTTCCTCGTCTTGGAGACTATAAACTCGTCGAAGTCGACGTTAATGATGTACTCGGATGCCAGTCTAGAGCGGTAAATGCAGTCCTGGATAGCCGCCATCTGACCGTGCGCCAGTACGGAGGAGTCGTTCAGCGGTAAGTTCCACCGGTGAAGCCGGATGTCTACCTTTCCCCTCTCTCGGAGGTGCGACAGCAGGACTTCCACTTCCCGCGGCACCTGGCACAGGTAGATGTTGAAGTGTGCAACGCCCATTGACGCGTAGTAGGCTATGAACTCTGTAATAGATGAAAACCTGCGGTAATGTTCCACCACTGGACGAACGCAGACGGAGCAAAACTTGAGTGGGCGCTTGCGTTGGTTGCGCACTCTGAGCCACTGGGGTGATGTCATGTTCCAGTTTGTACCAAGGGCAACCCTCATGTTCGGATGGTTCCTCACTTCGGAAGGAAACTTGACGGGACAAAGGAAGAACGCCGCCGCGTAGGGGAGACCGTGGTGTTCAGGCAAGACCTCCAGGTTCGCCTCGGACAGGAAAACGGCCGGTCCGACGTTCAGCCAGCACTGCACCGCCATCTCTTGGGCGGAGTCTTTCGGCACGACGCTGACGATGCGCACGAGGCAGTTTTGCGGTTCCGAATCGTCCATGTACGCAGAGTAGACGTACGTACGCGGCAAAACTTGAACCCACTTGTCGTCATCGTCGTACACAGTCTCTTGGCCAGAGTCATTTTCGCGCAGCTTTTCGGCGAGCCGAGCGTTGAACTCTCGAATAGTGGCTGTGAGGTTTCGGTAGTTTCGGTTGTTGCAAGCGTACTGCGACTTGCTGGCTGCGAAAACAAGTGAACAAAAAGAAATGTTGAGGCACTGAAACATGCTTTCCTGACCTTCCTGAAAACTTTCCTGAGACTTTCCTGAAAACACGCTTTCACTAAGTACAGTGATTTGAAAGCTCGTTGGTACGACTCTCACGGGCATTAAAAATTAACACATGATCCGAAAATCGCATTCTCTGAAACGGGGCCCAAAATGACAAACAATGCATATTTGGCAAAGAACTTGCTTTAATTAACGAGCTTTGAAATTGTCCGTCACCGAGCAACGAGCTTTTTTTACTTTTTGATGTCCCGCGGTGAGCTTCATTTGAAACTCAATGAAACGAGTAGCATTTTCATGAAACGCTGACCTCATCACCTGCGACAAGGCTACGAAACGTGTCTAAAACGTTGAGTGCAGATTCGGTAGTTATGAACCGTTTCGAAGGGCGAGGCGATCAAATCCAGTCTGGAATAGCGATCATTGATCCCGGAGTAGCGTTGGACAGCCGCGACAGCTCAGTGCTGCACGAGCGTAGTGCCTCCGGGCGCGAAGGCTGAAGCCACGCACGTGAGTGTTTTAGACGTGTTCGCAATCGCATTACCCAAGCCGCGGAAACGCGATCGTATTAACCGTATAAAAATGTATTACCTCTAAGGGGCGTCGGCCGGTAACACACACAAAAAAAAGACGTAGATCGCGACATGTTGCGTTTGCCCTCCTTTTGGGAGACATTCGAACTTGCCGACGGCTGCAGTCCGTCACGGTAATCATGCAAGTGAAATGAGATTGGCGAAAATTTCAAGATTCTTTGAGCACATCGCACTAGTTCTAGATGTGCAGCAATCGTCCTACCTTTGGCCGTGAGCAAGGGTACAAGGAAGTAGGCTGCTGGCGCGACGGACAAGGCCGCTGCCAGTAGTGTGAGCCTCTTGAGAGTTCTGTTGATGCATCTTTCTTTCCTGCAACGAAGTGCTTTAGCATAAAGAGTTGTGTCGGGCTCGAGGATTGAACTGTAATAGCGCTTATTTAAGCAGCTTTTATTTTACACTTGGTGGAATATTGCAACAGCGACAGAGTCGAAAATTATAATTCCATCGTCGCCACTCGCCCCGCCGCGGTGGTCTATAGTGGCTAAGGTACTCGGCTGCTGACCCGCAGGTCGCGGTATCGAATCCCGTCTGCGGCGGCTGCATTTTCGATAGAGGCGGAAATGTAGGCCCGTGTGCTCAGGTTCGGGTGCACGTTAAAGGACCCCAGGTGGTCGAAATTTCCGGAGTCCTCCACTACGGCGTCTCTCATAATCATGTGGTACAGTTTGGGGACGTTAAACCCCACACATCAATCAATCATCGCCACTCTTTTCAGAGAGGTATACTATCATCCAAGGCCAGTGGGCCTTTGTAATGGTGGTCTGCTTGACTTGCGTTATTGCAACATATGTTTTACTTAGTTAGCCATTTGGCAAAGCTTCGGAATTTAAAAAAAATAAGCGGTGCATGGCAGCGCCTTTCTATCGTAGAAGACACAGCTCATGTTAATTGCTGACTAGGTTCACGGACACGAATATTGCGGAATGCGTGCAAGCGGTAACTTGACTCTTCAAGATTAGCATTGCTAGCAAACACGGAAATGTGAAACCGGGGTCGTAAACACCGACCACATGCTGCACGTTTTGTTTTAACGTCTTTCGTTCCTAAGGTATAGCCGTAACTTAGAATAAATGATTTTAGAAACATTTCCAAAAAAAAAAAACACGGCGTCCTCTATAAGATACATAGTCCAATATAATTACAAGTGTTGTCTGCTCACGTACCAAGGTGTAAAAAAAAATGCGGTGATGCATGGCTTCGACGCCCAAAAATATTGCGCCCTTTATGCTTCTTCAATCAAATATGTGCCACCATGATACAGGGGATAAAAACGCATTGTTCTCCTGACGAGATTTTATGATGAGGTGGTGTGTGACCGCACACAAACAATCAAACATTTTGAAAGATGTATGATCTAAACACTTCGTTGCGAATGCTTATGAACTAAAGGCCACTTGAATATGTATTAGCTGAAAATCTTAATGAGACTGGGGTATTTTATGAATTAAGCAGCTGAATTACTGCTACAGAACTTTTTTAACGCGTATGTAAAGATGACAGAGACGCAATAGCTGTTACGAATAAATAGGTTAAAATTTTGCTATAACTGAGAAACTGATAACACTCAAACACGGAACACCTGTAGGAAGTGTGCGGTCAAAATCGTGAACAGCAGTGAGCGATCGCACGCGCACGCAGGCGCATGGTTTGTGTTAACGCGCGCGTTAGCATTCCGCGTAGCTTCGCCAGCGAAACTATACTTTGGCAAGTCGTCGTCGTGCTCCTCGAGAAGGGAGAAAATGGCATGCCTACTTTTGCAACTCTTGCCCATTCACAGCTCAGCACCGCACTTATCATATATTGCCACGTTCCCTCCTCAAGTTCTGTTATCGCCCCGTTACGCTGTACATAGTTCTACGCTCAAACCGCGCCTGCAGTGTTCGAGAAGTTTCGGGACTATCATAGATCATTTAGTTAAGATTACGGCCACTTTGCGAACATTACAGATTATTGTAGAACGTATACATGGCCGCTAGCGATAACGCTAAACACAGTAACTTAGGAGTGTGGCAGCTTGGGCTCTTTAGTGTCCTTCTTGTTGATTGATATGTGGGGTTTAACGTCCCAAAAACCACTATATGATTATGAGAGACGCCGTAGTGGAGGGCTCCGGAAATTTAGACCACCTGGGGTTCTTTAACGTTCACTCCAATCTGAGCACACGGGCCTACAACATTTCCGCCTCCATCGGAAATGCGGCCGCCGCAGCCGGGATTCGAACCCGTTCCCTGCGGGTCAGCAGCCGAGTACCTTAGCCACTAGACCACCGCGGCGGGGCCGTGTTCTTCTTGTCTCTGTGTCGTCGTTTTGTTCTCGCGCTATATCGTCTTGCTAAACACAGGCGTGCGAAAGGTTCCCCTACGGGGGGGGGGGGGGGGGCGAAGTCAATACATGCCCGCTCAAGCTGGATTGCCCCCTTCCTATTGCTCACCGTATAGGGCTGACTTTGAACCCACCTCCTGGTTGACCAGGAGATGCGGCCGCCCGCCCCCCTGTGAGCATGCCTATGACGATAGAGTATTCGACGGCACGTGTATAAATGGCGACGCGCTTCGCCGCATGTCAGTTCATCAACGACCGACGCTCACTTAGCCGCTCTCAGTGCCAGTAATCTGAATCTTTTTGACCAGCCACAAGTTCGGCCGAATAAAAAGGTTGTTCTTCGAACCACAGTCTGCATCCTTCGTCGACGTCACGACCCAGTGACAATATAAATGGATCGAGAGTGCACGCTCTCACTTGTCAATCAGATAATGAGACATCACGTAAAAATTCATCATTTAGACTGATGAAATATTTCCTAGGGCTCTGCTTTGGATAACTTTATTGTAAGATAGTGGACTGCTGAATGTCAATTAATCTTGCGCCATAGCCCCATGCCAGCTGGTAAGTCAATCAATGTCACGGGCATAGACGTAGCCAAAGTGGCTCCAGGGTTCAAATTTTTTCCCTATTTTTTTCAGTTTATGATGCCCTTTAGGCAACTTTAGCTCTAGCTTTAGCTAACCTTTAACAGAGGTCTAGGGTTGGAGCTTGGCTCGTCGCGTCAGCTGTATACCTACATTAGGCTACATGGCTCTCCTCAAGCATGGTATACTTGCCCGTAAGTGCGGCAGAGATGGCTCCATTAGGTGCTACATGGTCGTAGAAGCCTTGCATATAAATTTTTGTCTATTTAGCTAAAGCTGGCCGTGCACTGATCAAAGCATGCTCTTACGACACTCCTTAAATAGCTGACTTATTACCATTATGCTCACGCCAGAGTTGCCATATGACATCCGCCACGGAGCAGGTCCGTAGCCGGAAAAAAAAAGGGGGGGGGGGCTCAGTTTGTTTTCATTTTTCCAATTTTTGAAAGCGCAATTATATGGTAAAGTGAATTTGGGCATGTTGATGAAAAATACTAATAGTAAAACGCTGTGCGTTTCAACGCGATAGCGTTAAAGACCTCGTGTCGCAGAAAACCCGCCGTCGGCGTCGGCCCCGTTGGTTGTGAGCGAAAAATCGTCTGTGCGTCTGTGACTGAAAAATCAAGTTACCGACATAGCCGCGGGAGGCTTCTACTTGTCCATGCGTGCGCGCGCGATCACACTGGAAAAGCCGCCCATTCAAAGAAAAAAGTGCTCAAGGTCACGAGGTGCGGTAGTTTCTTTGCCCTGCCACCCCTCCTCCCTGCTTAGCTTCCAGTGCTTTCGTCGGAACGTGAGGAGAGATAATGCAATTGCAGCATGCGACAAACCTTTTAAGTTCACTCGCGCTGGACCGATTCTTAGAATTTCGTGAGGCTATAAGCTCTTCTAGAGAATTCATTCCATGGTTTCTTGAAAAAGTGTTTCAGGGCCCCTTTAACGCATTTTGTTCAACAGGTGTCATGACGAAAACGAGCCCATTCGGCGATAGTAGCGTGCGCTGGTCCAATCTACTGTGTGCGCGTTTGTGTGTGTGAGCGTGTGTATGTAACAAAACATGAATAAGTATGCACTTAGCGGTTGAAGGGTATAGGGGCCGGATTTCGCTATCGCGTTCAACTCGTAAAGGCGAAGCTTAAGGGTCCCCAATTTTTTGCTACATAATTATACGCCCACGCAAAAAAACGCACGCAAGAACATCACAAAGTATGGATGAACGCCCGCCCCGAACAAAATTCATGGCAGTGCTATATACTGGTGTGGTATAGTTATGGTGTTCGACAGTTAACCCAAAGGTCTCGGGATTGAATGCCCGTCGTAATGGCTGCATTTAAATGGATGCGAAACACTCGAAGTGTGTGGGCCTAGGTTTAGGTGTGTGTTAAAGAAAAAATCAGATGATCAAAATTTCCGGAGCATTCATTCCACTACGGCGTCCCTCATCATAATTGTATCGTGTTACTGCAACGTACGTAAAACTGCAACAAGTGATTGTATTAATTCTTGTTGCTCTCATCTCTCACACTTAGCCCCCAACCAATCCATTGTTCTATTTCGTCTTCATCCCTCATTTTCCCGTGAAGCGCGTTCGTGTATAAACTCTCCCCCTTTCACTCGTAGGCCCGTCCTGGGGTCGAATCTTCTGCAGCTGCTTAGAAGATTCGACAGAGCATCTCGCACTGGCTCTTGAATCACCGGTCTCTATAAAGCGCCCTGACTTGTGGGGACTATCTTATCCGCTAGGCAGTCCGACAACGTTGTATTATACACACGTTTACGCGAAGACAGCCACAGACCGCGGCGTCCTTACCTCGTACGGCACCGCAGCACATCGTTTTGGCGTGCAGTGCACTCCGCAGCACCCAGGTCTCACCGTGAATCTCTACGTTGAGTTGGCCTTATGAAAAGGGATACGATGACGGTACAGTTCGTGTGTACACGAAGACCGTTGCCAGGGCAACGCATGTCTCGTGTAGATGACTCGGCTAAAGGAAACGCCCATACGTCTGCAAGCTGACGACTTCACGTGCCTCGGTGCAATGAGGTGTCGACGAGTAGGGAGAACAATGTGGCCAAGGGTTTTGATTGATGATCCAGATCACGCTTACTCGGCTACAAGCTTCCGCGGAACACGGACAACGCTCCGGTGCCTTCCCTTTCCCTTGCGTTGTCTGGGCACGAAAAAAGCCGCGCTCGCAGTGGAAGAATCGTTCCTTTTGTGACCCAACGAACCTCGGCGGCACCCGTCCACCTTACCGTGTCCCGAGTACTCCGACGTCTCGTGTACTCCTTTCACGCATTGCGAACTGCCGTGCAAGCTCAGAGTTTCAGGCGTACCCTGGATATGTTTCAGCACGCTCTGGTGTATACTATGGGGGCCCACAGTATATTATAATCGAAACATACTAACGTTCTCTTAATGGCGAAATCTCGCGAAGTGCGCGCTCTGCAGTTTTGTCAAAGGTCCCCGATATTTTTATTTCTTGCTCGGAAAATGAAACTCAAAAGGCAGCCCTTTAAGTAAAGATCAAAATCATTTGCAATACCTGCATTTAATTACAGTTATCCGCGACTAATTGCCTCGGCACCAAAGTATATGCCAGGAAGATGTTGTTTAACATGTTTTATTTTGTTTTTGTAAGTGAAAAATCCTTCGGCTCTCTATGGTTGATCGCCGCCTCGTATGAATATGTGTCGTCATTGCTATTGTTCCAGGTATTCCGGTACGAGACTGTTTTACGGAGGGCTTATCTAGGTGTGTGTTTGGGCAAGTTGGTTTATACTTGATGCGCAACAAAGGAGTGCTAAGCGACGGGGACATAAAAAAGGGCACCTGCAGTGTGCCTCTTGTCTATGTCCCCATTTCACAGCGCTCGTCTGTTTCGCATTAACGGAAAAATTTCAGTGCCGCCAACTATACTTTTTGTATTTTTTGCATCTTTAACAACTATAAACAGTGTTATGGAATACGCATACGCGTGAAAATGGTTGTGCTGATCAATACGACCTTATTAGTTCCCGTCGCAATATGCAACAAGTAAACAGTCCAGGATAGCGGCTTCCAGATGTCTTATGTGAAATAGTCTAAAGATATGCTACGTGATGATTTATAATAAAGTTATGACAGAGTGCGAATTCGGGGACAACAGCGCAGTCTAGGACAAAGTAAGACTAGGCGTAGCGCTGACTGCGTGCTATATATACGGTTGGTACCTGCGCCAAAGTACAAGCGGTTTCCTCTGTTCTTCTAAAAAGTCGCCGAAGTCTATTGGCTTGCAGATATCCGTCTAAACACGCGTATCGTCCTTCGTAGTGGGGAACAAATGCACCATGGTGCCTGACACAGAAGGGAGGTACCAGAGGACCGCAATGATTACCAGGCGGGACACCTCCTTTGAGTGGTAACCAGTCCCGCTAGATACTTCGAGGTGGCAGACCTTTTGATGTGCCCGATTGTCCGAGCGTAGGGCCCATCACCCAGAGCGTTCAAACTTGAAGGAAGAAACCTTGGTGCCACAGGTTGTTAAGGGTCGGAAGGAAGGTCGCTGATGATGGCATCCCACCGCTGCGACCAGTTGTTGCGAATGAGGGTCTACCCGGTCTCTTGTGGTAGCGTGGTGTAACCGGGTGGAGTAAAACGAACATTGACAAGAAGAGGATACGAAAAACAAACAGGTTTATGGTACTATTTACACATATTTACAGCAAAGAAAGGTTAGCGGTATCCCAACCCACGAGCGTGGTGGTTGAACCGTTACATAGTTCAGAGCGACGTCCAGCACTCAGCGGCGTCGTTTTAAGCCCTGTCGGGCTCCTCCTCTCCGAGTGGAACACCAATCACACACACACAACAGGTAAGGGGGGTGAGCATGCACGGTTTACGTGAACGTCCAATATTGAGTCGTGATCACTGCACTGCAAGGTGGTGCCATCGTGTGTGTGCCGCTAGTTGTGAGGTCCCACGATCGTGACAGCTTACATCAAAGGGTCCGCCGATTGGTTCGCTTAATTAGCGGGGCGATTTGCGGCGGCCGGCACGGTCTCTTCCAAGGAAGACGCTGTCTTTGTTGTTCTCTCTGGAACGGTTTACGATGTCGTGGCGACACGACGTCTCATCCTCCGGACAATGCCTGGCGGGCATAGGCAGCCGGCCGTCGGTTACTTGATTGAGGATTAAACGAGCGCCGCTCCCCCATCAGCTCTGGCGTCGGTCACAACAGCTTCTCCGTCTCCCGATGAGTCGCCGAGGTCATAAGGCACCACTGCTGCTTGAAAGGACGACGAAATGGTCCGCATTTGAAAGTCAGGAACCCGCCTTTGCTTGCCACATTGTCTGGGTAATTGCTCAAATCTTCGACAGCGTCTGGCAGACTGAGCGCCGAAGGGATTGAGAGCCTCCCCAGTAGACCGGCTTACGCACAATGGCGTCTGCCCAGACGAATTTCCTGGCCAAACTTAACAAGGTGCAGAGTTTGGTGGCCATGCCACAGCCGAGGACGTTGACCTGGGTCGGTGCGCTGGTGGCACCGTCAAAGTGGCGTGTGTCCTGTTACTATTCCCCCACTCTTCATAAAAAGGGAATCTTCATAACCA